TGTGATTGGAGCACAGAGCAAAAGGGGGCGGGACTTAGGAAGGGTGAATTAACTGTTAATGAATCCTAATAATTCTTCCTAGTTCCTCAATTCAAAGCTCAACTTGTCTGAAGTCTGATTTCACCAGTTCAACCACCTCTGACCTGTCACTGTCTGCAGTTATTCATGTTTCTTAAGAAGTGACAGAATAAAAAAATAAAAAACTTAGTTCCTGATTTACTTCCTCAACAGAGAAATTTCCTGAATCTGGTCGACGTGGTTCCCTGATCTGTTCTGAAAGAGGCTTCACATCTGATTTGACTTCTGCTTAAATAAATGAAAACTAACGTAGTTTCTCACACAACACATTCCAGTTCCTTTTGTTGTAGGGGATTATTCAGCTCTTTCCTAATGCTGACAACAGTCACCACTGTGAGTCTGAAACAGGAGGTCATAAAATCCTTCTTCTATTTCTGATGTTTGTTTACAGATTTACAGACCAGATCCTCTAGTTTCCAACTTAAACATTAAGATTATGCTTCCTCACATGCACTGTTTCCTGTAATAAAACAGGCGGTTAGAGAGGGACATGTCCCAGATATTGATTGGCGTTTACAGCAGCCAATAGCAGCTGACAGCAGTTAGCATCAGGAAACTCACAATGCAGTTCAGTTGTTGCGGCCTAAAATGTCTCCTTTCATGTCACCTTTTCTGAGTACACGTTGTGATGTTTTCAGGCTCTGATTTTGCAATGAAAATTTGGGAGAAAGTGGAGCAAAACATTGATTCATATGTCACCAAACTAGAACATTTTCACTTCCTACTTCAATTTCATTGCAAAAAAAAATCCCTGAAAGACTCAGCCATAGACGTCTGTTATACATCGGCCCTCAGAAACACGCCGTCAGACGAGAGAAAGCATTTTATTGGACATAAAATTAGTAAGAAAAAAGTTTTAAGATATTCAAACGTTTGATGACCAGTTACAAAGGAAAAGTGATACTCAAACACGAACCCATTAGACTCGTTCGGCTTCATCTAAATATATTAAGCACTGATTCTGGTGAAGATGAGAGGAAATAGAAAAAGTCCTTGATTTAAAGCGCTGACCTCTGCCCTGTATCT